TTCTGATTCTCTGTCCCTTCTCTGGGTTGGAACAGTTTTCTTATCTGATCAAAGATTATGGGAAGAAATACCTTCTCTTGTGATGGACAAAGATAAAAAAGAGCTGCTTCCTTCCCTTTTAAAAGCTTATCTGTGACCAACTGGAGAATTTTTTCCAGAATAATATAATTTAGGTTTCCTAACATGTTTTCAAAGTCATTCGGCAAGTGCCTTGAATCTCCTGCTGATTGGTTGAAATCATTGTCCCAAAATGGAGAACATCAGGGCTTGACATAATCTAAACAGGGGGTCTGCCACCTTAAACACTCAAAGAGCCATTTGGACCTGTTTCCCACAGAAAAGAAAACACCGGGAGCCACAAAACCCTTCCCGTGCCTGACTATTTCTTGAGTGGCCACAAAACTAGCATATGTAGTTTGTTTGTTTGTTTGTTTGTGTTTGTTTGTTTGTTTGTTTGTTTATTGTCAAATTTCTATACCGCCCTACTCCCGGGGGACTCAGGGCAGTGAACAGCCAAGATAAAATACAGATAATACAAACATTAAAAGTCCATTAAAATTATTAAATATTTTGGCTGAAACAAATTTAAAACACCCAATTTGTAAAACAGATTAAACGATTTAAAAATTTAATTTAAATTTAAATTTAAAAGGGAGAGTTAGGCCAGGCCTAACTAGTTGAATTAAATGTTTTGTTTCCTTCTGAAACTTTTATTTTCTTGGATTTATCCATTATTGGCCTACCGGGGATTGAAAAGCTCAAGAAATAGCATGATGATGGGTGTCGCACATTGGTTGTTGTGACAAATATTTTGAGTGGCAGGGAGCCGCAGCAGAGGGGTGAAAGAGCCACCTTTGGCTCCAGAGCCGCAGGTTGCTGACCCCTGATCTAAACCATTCAACAACACCATGGACTGATTCACAAAGGTTTTGTTTCTCATGTGGATCTGATATCTGTGAATGACTAATTTCAGCATTCCTCACTCTAATACCTTTTTGATTTGGAATATTTCAGAATATCGTCAGAGACAAATTCCTTAGCAGTGTCAAATGCTAAGTATATTTCCTCCCTTTGCAGCTTCATAAACTGACCTCCCCAATATTCTATAGGTTTTAGAGACTTATTGGTTATTATATTTTTTAAATAATTACAAATTAGCTACCAGCTAATAGATATGTTACTACCGTACAGAAATGTGTGAATAGTCAATGTAGAACTGTACTTTAATAGTCTTCCTTTGCCTTGCAAAAAGTAAACAAAATGAGTTATCCTACACTAGGTATTTTGTAAACAACTCCAGATAAATGAAACTACTCATTATTCCAGAATAAATGGTTTTAGAAGTGCAGTTTTTAAGCCTTTATAGACTGGGTCTAAATATTTTTGCGCATGGAATTAAATGCAAATAGTTTCTGACTTCATTTAACATGAATGATTCTTAGCATAAGCTAAGAAACGTAAACTATGTAGAATAAGAATCCCCATTGTTGGCACCCATCAGAATGATGGTCTTTAGCTTCATTATCCCTGGATGGATGTCCAGAGTCCATGTTGGGTGAAAATGATGGGAACTGTAGTCCAACGTACTTGGAAGCTACCAAGTTAGCGAAGATTAGATGCAAAGTGTGAATAAATTAAAAGGTTTGGTTCTTCCTCATTCTTGCCTAGCAAAATGCAGATAATAAAACACTAGTTTTGTCCTTTGTTGAGCAGAATATTTCTCTTCATCTGCATTATCTACTTCCCCAAACCATACAAAACTCCAAGAAAGTTCAGCAATTGCTCTTTGCATCAAGGTTGACCAAATCACCTTCATTTAAATTTCTACTTTCCAGTCAGATATGGAAAAATAGCTCAGCACAGATCCCAATTTCCTTTCATATTAGAGAAACTATATCTATAAACGTTTTTCATTTATTATAAAAGTAGACTAAAACAGTTTTCAAATAGGCTGCAATTCTGCCAAGCATAGAAAAATATGTTTGTTTCAAGTTCTAGATGTTCATTCATTCATTCAAACCAAGTTATGTTGGCCACAGTTGTATCTAAATGTTGCATGAACTAATTTAGGTCATTAAAATAACACCTTTACAATATTTGTATTTGTATGCCTTCATTTGTATGCCTTTATTTTGAAGTACAACAAAGTGTACTGGTATGTTTCGCTGGCCAGTAGTACATTAGCACTGTATCCTTAGGTGCACTGATATATCTTCAGGTATTTGTCCTTATATGTCTGAAGCAGCAAAATTTGGGTAATAACCTAAGGCATTATATTGTTCAGTTTTAATTTAGTTACGTGTCAATACAGCTATGATGGTTTGTAAATGACAATGGTAACTTGTGTCAAATTGTTATAGTTATACCAGGGGTGAAATGCTCCCGGTTCGGACCGGATCGCCCGATCCGGTAGCGATGACGGCAGGTGGTTCAGAGAACCGGTAGCAAAAATCCCTGCCCCCCCCCCATGCCCAGCTGAGCCGAACGATTATCAGAGGCTTTTTAAAATTATTTTTAAAAGCATTTTTTCTACAACCTCTTCAGCTGAAAAAATGCTTTTAAAAGTAAAAAAAAAAGCCTCTGATGATCGCGCAGCTCAACTAGGATCATCAGAGGCTTTTACATTTCACCACTGAGTTATACAAATCATTATTAAAACAAAACCATGCTTTAGTTCAATGTACATTATGCCAATTCAATATTTTTCCCCAAACATCTAAAATTTACCTGGCAAAACATGGCCTTTTTATTCTCTCCAGAGCAACAACTCCCAACCCCCAAGAAAAGCAGCTGCCATTTCTCTACCTGGGAATCCCTAGATTACCCTTACTTTGCTATCTCTTTTTCTATCACTGCCGTATCTTGCCTTCTTCTTGGGCTCCTTCAATTACTCACAGAATCTAATTGAAACAAGATTCTATTTCTTCTCCATTATGCATGCAAGCTCAGCCCTCTTTTAAAAGTTCTGATCTACTCTGTACAGTTTTCAACATTTCAGTAACAGGACACGCCTTAAACTTTATATGAATTAAAAGCCAGGGATAGCAGAAAGTGATAAATAATATACTGTATGCTGATAGATTCTGGCCTGATTTAATCCCCAAATGTCTGATAGGTACAAGTGAAAAATTTCCCTTTAAATTAGGTTGTTGAAAAAAAAAATTCCAGGTGTGAGAGAAAAATAATTTTGAATAGAAAAGAAATTGGAATTGCTTGTGTTTTCTTTAAGCTGGTCAGAAATTCCTGGGCTGGCCATGTGCTCAAAATCACCCTGACCTTAATTCCAAACCCATTTGCTAGCCCAAACTATATTTTGCATATCTAATAGTACAATTGATAGCTCTTAGGTTTCATACCACTAATGCTGCTCACCCTACAACAGAGCCTCTGCTTTCAGAATTGGAACTTCTCCTGGATTAGGAGAGGCTGTCATTTGGTGTCAGCTAAAAAAAGTTACAGGTAATCCTTGATTTACTACCACCATTGAGCCCAAAATATCTGTTAAGTCAGAAATTTGTTAAGTGAGTTTTGCCCCATTTTACGACCTTTCTTGCCACAGTTGTTAAGTGAATCACTGCAGGCATTAAATTAGTAACCCAGTTGTAAAGTGAATTTGGCTTCCCCATTGACTGCTTGTCAGAAGGTCGTAAAAGTTGATCACATGACCCAGGACACTGCACCATAAATATGAATCAGTTGCCAAGAATCTGGATTTTGATCACGTAACCATGGGGATGCTGCAAAGATCGTAAGTGTGAACAACTTTTTTCAATGCTGTTGTAACTTTGAATGGTCACTAAATGAACTGTTGTAAGTCAAGGACTATTTGTATTTTCTCAGTGGCTATAGACCAGAGACCAGGGTCATGATATCAGAGAAGGCTTTTTAAGGGAGTTGTTTTGTGAAAATATTTACATCCTGGACATAAACTGTTTCAACTCCTACCCTCAAAACGACGCTATACAGCATTATACACCAGGACAACTAGATACAAGAACAGTTTTTTCCCAAACGCCATCACTCTGCTAAACAAATAATTCCCTCAAACTGTCAAACTGTTCACTAAGGCTGCATTACTATTGCTATTGGTCTTCTCATCGTTCCTGTCACCCATCTCCTCCCACTTGTGACTGCATGACTGTAACTTTGTTGCTTATATCCTTGCGATTTATATTGATGTTGATTGTTTCCTAGTATGATTTGATTGCTTATTGTACCGTATGACTGTCACTGGATGTTGTGCCTTGTGATTCTTGATGAGTATATCTTTTTATGTACCCTGAGAGCGTATGCACCAAAGAAAAATTCCTTGTGTCCAATCACACTTGGCCAATAAAAAATTCTATTCTGTTCTGTTCTGTATACATTTAAAAGGTTTTTTTGAGGGGTTGGTTCCCCTCTAAGCAAAAGGCAGATACTTTATGGAGAGAACTGCCAAATCATAGGAGAGACTCCCTCTTGAAATCGTCCCAAAGTTTCCGCCTGTGTTGTTATTGAAATCCATTCAGAAAGAAAGAAAGAAAGAAAGAAAGAAAGAAAGAAAGAAAGAAAGAAAGAAAGAAAGAAAGAAAGAAAGAGGAAAAGAAAAAAAAATAAAGAGAATGGAAAAGAAAGAAAAAAGAAGAAAGAAAGAAAGAAAGAGGAAAAAAGAAAGAGAAAGAAAGAGAATGTAAAAGAGAAAGAAAGAAAGGAAGAGGAAAAGAAAGAAAAAGAAAGAGAATGGAAAAGAAAGAAAGAAAGAAAGAAAGAGGAAAAGAAAGAAAAAGAGAATGGAAAAGAAAGAAAGAAAGAAAGAGGAAAAGAAAGAAAAAGAAAGAGAATGGAAAAGAAAGAAAGAAAGAAAGAGGAAAAAAAAGAAAAAGAAAGAGAATGGAAAAGAAAGAAAGACGAAAAAAGAAAGAGAAAGAAAGAGAATGGAAAAGAAAGGAAGGAAGGAAGGAAGGAGCGGGTGGGTGGAAGCCTATTGCCTTTTGATTGGCAATACATAAGTAATCTCTCCGGAAACAGCTACAGAGCCATTACCCACCAACTTGAATTTCTACCACAGAGCAGAAGTTACACCCTAGCCTAGCGAAGGGGCCTCCCGCGAAAAGAGCCAGAAGGCTGGGTAAGCGCTGTGCTCCCTCACAGGAAAGAGCCATTGCCAGCGGGGGTCGCCCTTCACGGGATGCTGGGGCCCGGCGCTACTAGGATTGCCGAGCTCCCCACCCCCCCACTCGCGGCTCCCCACCCCTCCGCTTGCCAGCCGCTCCGTGGGCAGCCGCGGGGTCAGCAGAGGCAGGCGGTGCTTGTGGGGGCAGGAAGCCTCGGGGGTGGCCGGGAAGGAAGAGGAAAAAGCCGCTGACTCCATCCGGCCGCCAGAACCGCATTGAAAAAGGTTGCGATGCGGCGAGGGAGGGAGGCGTCTCCCGCTTCTCTTCCGCGCTCTAGTAGTTCATCGCGCCCGATTCCACCTACTCGACTCCCGCAACCACCGAGGGGAAAAAAAAACGCCAGAGCAGGTTGCTAGGCAGGCCGCGCTCGTGACTCGTCAGCCCTCGCGGCGTCGGAAGATGCAACTTTCCCTTAAAGTGCTGCGGGGCGGGGAGGGGGGGGCATCATCAACAATAACACCACCAAACAAGGTTTAAAGGCGAGGGCGTGGGAAGACGGCTACACGCAAACACACCCGTTTGTATGTTGCAGAAAGAGTTTGCAGTAGCCGGAATGTTAGAGAATATAATGGGGAGTAGAGTAGAGCCAGAACCAGAGCAAAACTCGCCCAACCTCCAAATAGCTGGCATCTTAAGACCGTAAAGTTGTTTGCCTTCTTAAATGGTAGAGGTACAATCTCTTAACCCTTGCCCTTCTTGCTTCCATTATTATAAATTCCATTCATTGCATCCCCTTCAGTTTCCTATAAGGCTTTCTGGCTACGAAGTTGGGAAAGTGCCTTTCAAACTTTCTCATCCCTTCCTTCAAACAAATTCAGCTTAGAACGCATTGCTTGTACCACGTTTTGAAACTGTTTTGCAATCTACCAACCATCTGTATGCAAGCATGTTTCCTTAGAACAACCTTGTCCCTTTAAACACAGGCACTGGACCGTTCAAACCTTGCTCAGTTTTCTACATTTGTTTGATTTAAAACTGTGTGGGGAAATATGGTGCATGTTAAAGCATTGAGATTCCCTCTTCATTTACTTAATGACAGCATTAACTTTAATTCCAATCTCATCAATTAAGAGTATACCTGTCCTGGTAGCACTATACTTCAGCTCTTTTACTGTGAAACTTTTCACAATATATATATTTTATATAAATATGGACTTTTTCTATCTATACACCCTCCCTTTTAAAATAATGTGTTTTGCTAAATATCATTTTTGACTCATTCCATCTATTTGTATGATCCTGTTGTTCTTTACAAGGCCCTTCTGTTAGTCTATATTCTGAGAATTTGGACCTAAACAAAAAGGTAACTCAGGACAGGGTGAAAGTGGAGAAAAATAATAGATTTTAATTCACTTTGTAAAATTTAACACCCAGAAAGTTAAATTAAAGTACAGGAGGAGCATATTTGAATATCCAATGCTGTGGGGGGAAATTCCAAATAAGATAAACATAAGGAATACCAGGTGAAAATGTATTATAATGCTTTACCTGGACATGGTAATCTCAGCTTGAGGGCTCTGGGATTTCTCCAGTCCCAGTTTGGTGAAGATACCCACCAGCACCATGATGGCCACCACACCACAAATAATGTATACAATCATGTTGGTCTTGTCCTTGGTAGGATTCTGAGGAGTCTCATCCACTCGAGGTGGTGGTTGGCCTGTGTTGACCCATTCTGGTGTCTCATAATTTGAACAACCACTTTGATCAAGTTTTCCACTTGTGAATTGACAGCAGAAGCGGTAACCACAAGTTCCACAGCAAAAATTATAGATCCCTGAATTGCAGTTAAATGGAGGATCCCACTGGCCCATCACATCATAATAACCAAGGCACCGCTCTCCCCCAGAGATGGACTCTGTGGGGGCTACAATTGTGTCCTCCAAGATGGGACCCGAAGTGGTATTGGTTTTGACCTCCACCTGCAGTTCTGACTCACGTTTCTGAGGATTAAGCGTTCCGGTCCAAACTTGTCCTGGGTCCATAAGAACTAAGCAATAGAATCCAAAAATACACCGTTCCATCTGTATGCCACTCCAGCTCACTAGTAAAACGGCTTTCTCTTTCCAAGACTAACTTCCACAATAGAGGAGACCTTGTTTTGTTTAGCAATGCAAGAAAGAGGATTTTAGAAAAAAAATCCAGTCAAAAATGGAAAGGTAATACATTTCTTTGTAAGTCACTTCTAGTGGAGAAGAGAGAGATTAACCTCTTGTTTTTTTCTCCAAAGCAAATGGCACAATCAAAATAAATCCTCTAGTCCAAGAAAAAAGAAAAAAGTGGGATGGGTGGGAGTATGGTTGGAAGTTGAAAAAAAGGAATGAGAGTAGAAGAAATCAGTATAATGTATAGCATCATCAGAAGACAATCTCACAATTTCCTGTGCAATCTCAAGAGGTAGTAGATATGCAGTCCTCCTCTTTTAGCAGCAAATATTTGGCTTCTAATGTCATTTGAAAAGCTTTACTGAAAACCTTCATGGACTATATTCTCATCTTGACTTGAACCAAATCCCGAAAGCAGCCCTTCCCTTTCTTCTTCCTTCTGTCCCCTTTCTCAGAGACACTGTGCTTTCTGGAGGGGAAAAAATTCTTTGCACTACTGAGAAGGGAGGGATTATCAAAGGGGAACGAAAGAAAGAAAACAGGAGGGGTGGAGGGGGAGAGAAGGAGAGAGAGTATTGGAGGAATAAAAGCAGTTCTTACTTCTCTTTGAAGTCAGACCCACAAGTGCCTGATCATTTCCAAAGCAGATCAGAACAGAATCTTCAGGTTTTCATCCTCCATGTAGAATTTGGTTAAGACCCAGATATTGTTGCCATCAGGCCAGGTTGGATCCAAGAGGATTTCAACAGTGACAGTGCCCAATGATGCTAGTGCACAAGTGTGAAGAGCTGGTGAACAGCTGGCCAGTTTCTCCTCTGCCTGCCTCTTCCAGGCAGTGTACTAGTAGGGGAGAAACTGTCCAGCAATTCACTAGATTAATCCTTTATAGGGGCAGAACAGGAATAGCTATGCTTAAGAAAAAAACTCTCTGACACTATAATATCTGTCTGGCAGCATCACTGTTGCTCTTTCATGTTTGAGAACAGGATTGTAAAAGTACATTTTTAAAAACTTTTTGTTCCCCATTTATAGATTGTTATGAAAATAAAAATCAGTTTTTGATTCTTTTTAGGACTAAAGAGTACTCAGTGAGTAGAATGTGAGAAGAATGCATACGTATGTATATATAAATAAGGAAATATCTACAGCAATGTTTCTCAACCTTGGCAACTTTAAGATGGCTTGCCTTCAATTCACAGAATTCCCCAGTCTGCATAGGAGTTGAAGTCCATCCATCCTGAAATTGTCAAAGTTGAGAAATATGATCTATGGTATAACTTTTGAGCCAACTAAAAAGGGAATAATAGAGCTAGGTGCTGTACAATATCATCACAATCAAGGAAATTGTTTCTTCCAATTTCTTCCTTGACATTAATATATGAATTTATATATTGGTCACTATCCCAGCACTTGGTGCAATATAAGAGCAGGCATTGAAGCTACAGGAGAATCACATAGTTTGCCAGATAATAATCCTGCAATGTATTTTGAGAACACTTCTATCCCTGGATAACAATGAAAAAACGGTAACCTGATCTTTATTATTTTCTCTCTGCAGAATATTGTTTTCCGGATATCGGGGAGAAATCCCAAGTCAAATGTAAAATTTTAAAAAATGAGTAAAATTTTCTATTTTGATCTTTATTCCAGCAAGGCTCAAACAGAATTTTAGAATGGAAGGTTGGTCAGAATAATGGTCAGAATAGTCATAATTGATTGAAGGATAATTCAGTCTAGGGAAAATGCATATATTAAACATTTATCCACTTATTAATTTAAATACATTTTCATTGAAAAATAATTTTGTATAGGTTTAAAACAACAAAAACATAAAAAGAAAATTAGAATAGATAAAAAGTATGCAGAAATAAAAGAAAAACTGAAAATCAGTAAAAGTTAAAGAAAAAGAAAAAAGAGAAAAAGAAAAATATTTAAAGAAGCAGTTTCCAATCTTCTTTGCAGCAGATTTCCTCCCTCCCAAATTACATAATATGGTTCCCTTCTTCCCATAAACAACACCTTTTAATCAGTAAATCTCCAATTCATCAATTCACTTTTTCTATTTTCAACAAGCCTAGAAAAGATTTCTGGTCTTTTGCAAAATATTTTCTTTTTCTAATCAAACAGACCAATGTAGCCATTTCAGAAAGTTCTACTATCTTAACAGCCCATTCCTCCGTTGTGGATATTTGTGGATTGTGCGTGCGATCCCATTGTGAATCGGTAGTAAAGGTAAGTAGAAGCCACTCCTGATGTCCACCATGAATGATAAATAGTTCCTTCTTTATATTTACATTTCCACTAATCATTTGAGATATCTTTATCCGTTCTTGACAATTTATCCAGTGTTAGATACCAACGATATATCATCTTATAAAACTTTTCTTTTAAATTATAGTTTAATGTGAATTTAAGACCTTTCGTCTATATATTCTCCTGTTGTTCAAGCATTACATTATATCCAAAGTTCTTTGCCCACTGAATCATACAATGCTTTACATACTTGTTTTCCAAATTCAAATTCAATAACAATTTATAAAACTTAGCAATGTGTTCATCACTACCACACAGTAGGATATCCAATTTATTTTTCACTAAATCAAATCCATAACTCTTTTTGACTAGTTTAAATCTTTCTTTCAATTGTAAATATATAAAACAATGGCAAACATGTCCTTCTGATACTAACTCCTCTTTCGATTTGAGGATAGGGTCAATAATTGAAAGGTATTATTTTACCATAAATCCCAACAGTCTGGCCTCACCACCATTTCTTTTCTAAAAAAAAGCTTCCTGGGGAGGGACCCAAAGAGGCATCTTTGCAGAGATCCTTATTTTATCTTTATTTCAAACTCTTAGGTTGGCATGTTTAACAGAGTAATTATTAAAATCAACATTTACTTTAACCTTGTCATATCATAAATAGCCGTGCCATCCAAATCTTAATTCATGGCCCTCTAGCTTGAATAACCTCTTATTTTGGAAACCCACTCACTCTTTTAGCCAGACCAAACAACAAGCCTCAAAATATAATTTCAAATCTGGTAAAACCAGATCGCGTCTTTCCTTAGTACTTTGCAATAGTTTGTATCTAATTCTTTTTTTTTCGCTTGCTGTATAAACATCTCTATGTTCATCTGCCATTGTTTAAATAGAGTATCGGTTACAAGTATTGGTGTGAAACAAAAAAGCATCTTTAGTAAAACATTCATCTTAATTACAGAGATTCTACCCAGTAACAATAGTTTCAGTTTATTCCACCTTAATAAGTCTTTTTTAACATCATTTCAAAGAGTGTGAAATTATTTTGAAACAGTTTAACATTTGTATTTGTCAATATAACCCCAGGTATTTCACCTTTTACTTCACCTTAAAAACCCAACATTTTAGTCAATATTTCATAAACTGAGATGTCATATTCTTAATAAGTATTGTTGTTTTCTGTTTGTTTATTTTACAGCCCGCTAAAGCTCCAAACTCATTTAATTTCTTCCATCAAATATTCTATATTTGTTTTTGAATCTTGCAAAAATATAACTAAGTCATCAGCAAATGCTCTCCATTTGTAAACTTCCTTTTTGATATTTACACATGTTATTTTCTAATCTTGTCTAATATCCCTGTTCAAAACTTCCAATACCAATATAAACAGCAAGGGAAATAAGGGGCGTATTCAAGGGCTTTGACCCCTTGAATAAAATGCTCTCTGAAGTCCGTATCTTTCAATTCTTTAACATATAAACCCAATCTAAGTTGTCAAAGGCCTTCTCTGCATCCAAACATATTAAAGCTGCCTGTTTCTCATTATGATATTGAAATATTCAATAATATTCAAAACAGTCTTTACATTTCTCTTAACAGTCTCTTAACTGGTTTTTTTGGCAAAAAGCCAGATTGATCTTAATGAATATATCGCTGTAAAACCTTCTATCTTTCTGCAAAAATTGCAGCAAAAAGTTTGTAATCATTATTTAATAATGAAACTGGTCTGTAGGTTTTATATCCTCAGGATATAAAACCCTTGACCCTTCTTTGGTAATAACGTAATATTAGCTTCTTTTCAGGTTTGAGGTATCTTTGCTCCCTATAATACTCCATTCATTATATCCTTTAGTGGCTGAAGGAATTGATCCTCAAAGCATTTATAATATTGGCTTGGAAGATCATCTGGACTTGGAGTTTTATCTGGTTTCATTTTTTTTAATAGCTCCTGATATTTCAAAGGTAGTTACTGGATCACTTATAAGTTGTTTCTGAGCTTGTGAAAGTTTAGGTAAGCGTTGTCTTACCAGATTTCCGTCTATTCGTCTAAGAAGCATGTCAAGTTCCTGCTTCTTGTAGAGATTGGAATAGAAATGATCTTTTTAATAAGATCATTATCTGTTATTACATTGTCACATTCATAAATTTTATCGATCATTCCCTTTTCCCTTTCCTTTCTTAATTTATATGCCAGCCATCTTCCTGGTTTATTTGTGAACTCAAAATGTCTTTGTTTCACATAATTCATTTCTATTTCTTTAACTGTTAACATAAATAATTGTTGATGTAACAGTTTAATTTGATGTAAAATTTTCGAGTCTGTAGGTGTCTTCTTCAATTCAATTTCTTTCTATTTAATTTCATCCAATATCTTTTGCATCTTTTCCTGAGATTTTTTTCTTCACTAGATGACTATGTTGTGTAAAATAGCCCCTCATAACTGCTTTACTCCTGGTAGCATCACAAATAGTCATCAAATTTGTCCCTTTACCCAGGTGATTATCAAAATATTCATTTGGTTTCTTTTTACAGTCCTTTACAATCATCTCTTTTTGAAAAATAGATTCATTTAATATCCATCTATAATTTAAGGTCTTTTTTTAAGTATCAAAAGAACTGGGTTATGATCACAGAAAGAGTTAGATAAAATATTAAATTGTAAAATGTTATTTGCAACACTTTTAGAGATCCATATCATAGAGATTCTCAACAATGATTTATGTTGTTCTGAGAAAAAAAATTCTTTAGCAGAGCCATTTCTTTGCCTCCACAAATTTGTCAACGCTAAATTGTCCATCATCTCAAAAAAAAAGTCTTTGGTAATTTACCCTGAAGAAGTTTAAGCCCTTTAGTAGATGTTATATCCAAAACTGAAGAAATCACTCCATTCCTGTCCCACAAAATAAGCTAATTTTCATAAGAAAAAGGTAATAGTTGATCCATAAGATATTCAAAATATTTAGTTTATCATTCTTTGGCACATAAAGTCCAATTAGTACTGATTTTGTTCCATTAAGATCAATTTCCACAGCTACATATCTACCATACTCATCTGATAGAATTAATTTGGGTTTAACTTGGTTTTTATATATAAAACGACTCCATTAATCTTTGTTAAACCAGCTGATATAAATTTCTCCCCTAATCTCTTATTTATTAAACAGTTCTTATCTTGTATCTTAATGTGTGTTTTTTGAAGACAGATTATATCAACATTTAGTTTCTTTAGATAATGAAGTATTTTTTACATTTAGATGGAGCATTTGCCCTATTAATATTCTACATTATAATATTATTCTCCATTTTTAGATAATGTGGCAAATCCATGTGCAGCCATCTCAACTGCCTCTTCTTTGATATCAGGTTTTTGAGGTTCATCTATCTCTAATTGCTTATCTGTATCCATTTCTTCAGTTGGTTCCAAAATTATTTTATGTTTAATCATGAAATACTTGGCTTTTTCTATAGAATTCAGTCTGAATCTTTGCTCTTGGTAGGTAAATATCACTCCTTCAAGTTTGTCCCAGCAAAAAGCGATTTTTCTCCTTTTCAGGATATCTGTGAGGAAAGACTTTCTTTTTTCTTAAGATTCTGACAGGGATTTCCTACAAAGCAATTATATCTATATTTTCCATTCTTAATTTAGATTTGAAGTGGCAGTCAAAAACGTAATCTCTCGTTCTTCCTACAAAATGAAACTAAAACATCTCTTGGTAATTTTCATGTCTTGGTTTCAAGTGAATATTAAAATTTTAAATTCTGTGCATCATCATACATATTTGTCTCCAGTATTTTTTCGCAAGTCTATGATGCATGATAAAATGTCCCTATGTTTTTCACATTTCCCACATATAAACCTAGACAATTATAACAAGATATTGCTATGATTTAGGACTGAAGTACAAACTCATCAGATATGAATTGTAGTTCAAATCATGGCCTTGTCATTCCAAGAGGCCCTTTACCTAATATTATAATGAGCAGCAAAACATATTTCTCCTTTTTCTCCCATGGGGACCATAATGGCAAAAAAGCCTGCTTCTCAGCAAGTGGGGAGAGAGGAATTTTTATCAGCTGTTGATAAGCTTATTGATCAGCCTTAGTAACACTATCCTTCAAGACACCACAACTTCTTAATTGTAACAATTACTTAATGCCATACTGATGAGATGAATGGAAATTTATTGAAATATTCAGTTTAAAGTAACCTATTATGAAATACATGTAGTCTTTATCATGACCACAAAAGACCCTGGAAAATTTATTCTTAAGTGATTTGTTTGTTAAATGAGGCATCTAAATTTCTTCACTAAATAAGGATGACTCAAGCCTATCTCAGCTTGAACTGTGCAAAGGCCCTTCTAGCCATGACTACTATTTGCTCTTCAAGCAGATCTTGTCAGTCTAGATACCCTGATTTTTATTTTGAGAGTGCTATTTAGAAGTATTCTTAGAATACTTCTAAGAAAGAAACACAGAAGTATTCTAAGCATAGCTCATAAAACTATCTGCTACAATGTCCTACCTGTCAATGACTACTTCAGCTTCAACCACAACAATACACGAGCACACAATAGATACAAATTTAAAGTGAACTGCTCCAAACTTGATTGCAGAAAATATGACTTCAACAACAGAGTGGTCAATGCCTGGAATGCACTACTTGACTCTGTGGTTTCATCCCAAAACCTCCAAAATTTTAACCTGTTGACCTTATCCGATTCCTAAGAGGTCTGTAAGGGGCGTGCATAAGAGCACCAGCATGCCTACTGTCCCTGTCCTAATGTTTCCTCTATTTGTATCTATTTTATGTATCCAAGCTATGTTTATACTTATTACCTAATATGTTCTTGACAAATAAAATAAAAAATAAAAATGCAAAAGAGAATAAACAAATGGCAACTCAGACTGCTCAGTGCTTTGTCTGGAAGTGTGCCATTTTATCAGGAGAAAAGACAAAAATGAATGGCAATGGTGTGGAGCATCTTGGGGAGTTAGCAAGAGGAGAATGACTTTGGCATCTGGAAAGCAAAATTATGTTTAGTAAGTAGCCACTTCTAGCTTCCTTCATGGCACTATTTAGTGGGAATACCTATGATATGTTTTCAGAATTCCAAATGTATGACATCCAAAAAGTTGGGGACCTTGGAATTTCCTTATTTGGCAGCAATGGAGAGGCTTAATACAAAAGTTTCCCCATATCTTTCTAGGCTTTGGGTACTATAGAGCAGTGTTTCTCAAACTCTGCAAATTTAAGGTGTGTGGGCTTCAATTCCCAGAATTCCCCACTAGCCACACTGGCTGAGGAATTCTGGTAGTTGAAGTCCATGCATTTTAAATTTGCCAAGTATGAGAAACACAGCTATAGGCAATTACAATGATGAGAGGATAACAGGCCCTGTAAAGACTGAGGATTTCAACAAACTTCCTGAGTTGACCAAAGATTTAGCGGCCAAGCACACTATAGCATGGCTAAATAATAATTATGCACATTAATAATTAATCTAATAACAGGTTTCAACCAGGTATAGGCACTGAGCTCTCCTGAATTTGATTAGTTTCTTTTGCTAAAGGCTGGGAGTTAGCCTCTAAGCAATAATACCAATATGCTATACTTTGCTTTGAATTTAATTGTTGAGCTCTAATTGCCTTTCCATTGAATACAGCTATCTTATCATGATGGGTGGTAACTTGGGCATCTATGGAGGGGAAGGGGGACAAATTATGAAATATATTTGATAGTGTCATCACGCAGATATTGTGAGATGCGAGTACATAATTGTAGCATTTACATAGTGGCATGACAATGCATAGTTCATTATTTTAGCATCAATTAGATTTGCTGTATGTGCCATTGTGCATGCAATAATATAAGAGACCTTATGTGAGCATGTAAATAGATGGTAAGCCAAATGATAATTTGATGGTTATGTTTTAAATCAACTTTGTCTCAATCTGAAAATGCTTCCTACCTGCAAGAGAAGGAAAATCTCCTCTTCCACAGACCTATCAACAAAGTGCTAATTTTTCTGTCGAAAGTACTAAAACACTTTTGTGAATATTAACAGCCCTCTTAGCTCAGAAACACTGAATAATGTGGAACAAAAGAATTCAGTGTGAGCCAGTGCAAAGAAGAAAAGCAGATCTTCACCCAGAGCTCAAGGGAGTAAAAGAAGACATAATGTACCAGGTGGATTATGGCTAATGAATAGGCAGGGAAATGGTCTTGAAATGAGATCAAATCTCTCTACTCCCATCCTCAAAGCCAGCTCTATTCATGTCATTTCTTGCATCCTTGCTAAACTCCATTGGGGCTGTAAAAGATGGGTTTAGCAGCTGACTAGTGGTTCAATGACCCATTAGTTTTGTTAGCTTCTTTCTTTCTACTGTCAGTCCCTGATGGCTGAATACAAGAACAAGCCTCCCATCCTGCACTTTGGTGTGCAATACTACACTACAGGGGCACATTTCTTTCTGATTCCAGCTGGTAATCAGTTTATACCCTGAAGCGTGGGGATTAATAGCTCTTGTTTCATTACTTTCTGCTGACCTAACATTCCCCCGTTAGTTTAGATGGTAGAAAAGACCATCCTTTCCTCCTGTTTCTTAGGAAAGCAGTTAGGTTGGGTTGATGGTGCAATGCAGAAAGCTAGCTGATATTCTCATGATTTTTGCCAGGATCCACTCTGACTTTTCAATTTAGTCTTTTTTTTCCTTCCTCTTTTTTACTTTTCCAACCTAGCTTTCTAAGACTAGTTGGATATAGGACACCATTTCTTTGTCCTTTGTCTTCCAAATCTCTGGATATGTTTTCCATACGTACAGTAACTATGGCAAGTTGCCTCCTCAAGTTTTAGAGTCAGGCATAATGGTTTTTGTTCTGTTAAGATCAAACGTTTACCAATTCTACCAATGATAAATTTTATCTACCAATAGATAAATACTAATTGATTTCTCTTATAAGAAAATTTTAATAGTGACATTTCTATTTCTTAGAGAAAGCATCAAATATTTCTGCTAAACAAAACAGAACAGCATAGTTACCATTCCATATCAACCTACTTTGCAATTCTCTTTTCAGGAGCGTTTCAAGATCTTTTACTTAGGACAATTCTGCTCTTCCTGCTTACCCCAGTGTGAAAAATAGGTCACCTACCACTTTGAGAGAGAGGAACAGATGAGATCATCCTCCGTCTGCACCTAACCTGTTCGGAAGGTGACCTCCACCCTGGTTTTCTTGCTGAGCACCAGAAGGAGTGCTTTATTTTCTCCTTGGTACAGGCAGGGCTGTCTGCTCTATTTGCTGCACTTCATTGCCTCTTGCACAAATGCCTCCACTCCATGGCAGGCATGTCACCCATCCCTACTTTCAGTCCCCAGTGGCCATTTGGTACTGGGTTGCTAGCTGCTGACATGAAAGCCAGGTGAAATGCTGGATAGCATTTTTTATTTGGTTTTGGTTTTTAATGAGTATATCAGAGGGATAGTAAAATGCTGGCATTTCTTTTTCTTTTAACAGGTTCAGCCCAGAAAGTTGGAAACGCTGCCCATTTCTCCTGTCCTCCTTTTTCTTCTTCCTGGATGAAATTGACAAGAGTTCTGCCAAGTTTCCCCTTCCAGCTCACAAGTGAGAGGAAGAAATGTAAAAATCCTCCCCCTCCCCCAGTCCTGAAAAGACCTACCCAGAGAAGAGAAAGTAATTGCCAATTAGCTTTTTGGGATGGTTGGCAGGTGAAAAGAAGCAGGGAATCCACCATCAGATGCCTTGTTAACCATGGTCAGGACAGGGATGAGGTGGAGAAAGTAATATTGGAAAGGATTACCTAGTTCTCCCTAGTTCTCTGTTAAATGAAGGCAGGGGAGGAGAAAAGTGCTTTCAGAACTTGCAAGATTCTGTTACTATAACTTTACCATAAAGATAGTGTTAGTATTCATGGCTTTTGTTACCTGACTGGACTACCTCAAAGGACTGACAGTTGGTGTGTGTTTTTTTAGGTGGTTTACTCATAGGAGATAAATAGCTAATGGCTGCAATGTGGAAAACCCCCAAGGCATCATTTCAGTATATGATATTGAAGTATTTTCCTCCTCTTGGAATAGAAATTAAGGCTGTTGGCAGCCTACATGGATTGAATAGTTGACCAAAACCAATAATTAACAGGCTGTAAATTATATGTTTATTTTTTACATCTGTTTCTGTCCATAGGATACTGAGCTCAATTCTCTGCATGGACATCTGGAAGTAAGTCCCACAGAGCAGCACAGGAAGGAGAAACTCTCTGCATGCAGCTGAAACACTTGTACTTTCCCTCCACACTTTTATCCTAAAACTGATAGAAAATGTAAGCTAGCTCTTGTGAAAATAGATTCTTTTTAATAAGACATATATGGACATAGTTTAAATGAAATTACTATTAGGTAGGAAATTACTCTCATAACTTCCATTTCCCATTTTGGGACCGGCAACAGTTACACTAGAGAGCAATTAAAGTGTAGTTTATAGAAAATGTCTTTGCGTACTTCTGTCTCTCTAAATAAGGTTATGTAAGTGATACATGTCTGCAAACAGTATATGGGAGGCAGTGATGGGTGCCAGCAGCAAGAATTGCTCTGTTTCTTTACCGTAGTAGCCACAGCTTCACCTCATGGGGAATTGTAATGAAAGTACATTTCTACATTGAGCAAATTATTGTTTTAAAACTAGGTTCATTGTCATTGCATGAAGAGATTTTAGTAGACAAGAAGAGAAGAGAGCTTTTTTATTGTTTTAATTATAGGATGGAAGATATAGAGAGCTTTAATTCATAAATTCTCTCTTCTACTCCCCCTTCCTTAGTTTCAGTACAACTGCAATTGTGCTAGAGGTGTGTAAAGAAATATAACGAAAGTGGCCATTACAAAAGGCAGAAGAGCCAGCACTGCTTTGCCAATTAATTTGGTCACTTAACCCAGAGAAGTTTCACATGAGGCACTAGTTATTAGTAGTTAATTTATTGTATTAGAGTATGTAGACACAGTTATTTGCTGAGATTGGGGGGAATATTAAATATTTTTTATTAAATAAATAAATAAATAAAATTTTCCAAATGACTTAGCAATTCCCGTACTATCCCTTATTCCAAATAATGATTTATGTTGTTTTATCCCTTAGTCTCAGCATCTTATTTGTATCATGATAAATCTATCTCAGCATCCACTTCTGTCCTACTATTGCAGCACCATTGAGAGTGTCCTGACATACGGCATTCTTGCATGGTATGGGAGCAGCTTTGTAGCGGACAAAAAAGCTCTACAGAGAATCATTAAAACTGCCCAGAATATCATCAGACTCCAGCTACCAGCCCTGGATGACATCTTCGAATCTCGCTGTTTGGGAAAGTTGCATAATATTCTCAGAGACTCTTCCCATCCTGCTTACAATCTTTTTGCACTGTTCCCTTCTGGCAGAAGATACAGAACAATTAAAACTCGGACCACACATTTTCTGAATAGTTTTTATTCCAGAGCTATAATTGCACTCAACAATGAACTAAAGGGCCACCATCAGTGAGCTGTTGGACAGTATTACTTGGTCTGTTGTGTGGATGTTTGGGTGGTTTAGGGGTGGGGAATTGTGGTGGGTGGGAGTGTGTTTGGGAATTGTTATGTTTGTTGGACCTGGGTGTTAAGTGAATTTCGTCGTATGGGTATACTGTGTATACACGTAAAATGATAATGAAGTTATTTATTTATTTATTGTTATTTATTTATAACCAGAACTGGACACAGTATTACAATTGTGGTCTTACCAAAGTAGTACAAACCAGTACTAATAAGTCATGTGCTATTCCTCTGTTGATGCAGCCTACAACTGCCTTAACTTTTTTGGCAGCTGCAGCACACTGCTGGCTCAAAAAGATCCCTCTCCCAGTCACTACTGTTGAGCTAGTATTCTATACCTGTTCTTTTGGTTTTCCTGTCTAAGTGTAAGACCTTAATTTTCTCCCAGCTGAATTGCATTTTGTTGGATATGACACCCAATTTTCAAGTCTGTCAAGATTCTTCTATATCTATATCTTCTATATCTTGAGTCTATCTTCTAAAGTGCTGCAAATTTCATGAATTCCTCTTCTATCCCCTCACCTAAATCATTTATGAAGATGTTTACTAGTACTGGGCCTAAGACAGAACCTTAGGTACCCCATTGAATGTTTTCCTCTGTTTAGATATAGTTCCATTGAGAACTACACGTTGAGCATGGTTGGTCGGCTAATTGCGTATCTATCTGGTGGTGGATGGATCTATCCCACATTTTTCTATTTTACCAAGTAGTAGATCATGGTCTAATTACTGAAGTCTATGTAAATTATGTCCACAGTATTTGTCTGATTCACTAATTTAGTCTAAGAAGGCAATAAGATTTGTCTGGTATAATCTATTTTTAACAAACCCATATTGGCTTCTAGTAATAGCTTTGGTCATTTCTTGGTGCTCATAAATCTACTATTTATTTTTTCCAGGATTTTCTCAGGAATTGATGACAGCTGATTGGTCTGTACAGATACAACAGTTTACAACAGTTCATTTAGTGACCATTTGAAGTTACAATGACACTGAAAAAAGTGATTTATGGCCATTTTTCACAATTATGACCATTGCAGCAGCCCATGGTAATGTGATTTATATTTGGATGCTTGACAACTAACTCACATTTATGATGGTTGCAGTGTCCCAGGGTCATATGATTATGTTTTACAACCTTCTGATAAGTAAAGTCAATGGGGAAACCAGATTCACTTAACAACTGTGTTACTAATTTAACAACTGCAATGATTCAGTTAACAAATGTGGCAAAGAAAAGTCATAAAATGGGGCAAAATTCACTTAACTAATTTCTCACTTGGCAGCATAAATTTTGGGCTCAATTGTGGTCGTAAGTCAAGAACTATCTGTAGTTTTCTGGATCCATTTCCCCCCTTTTTAAAAATTAGAACCATATCAACTATTTTCCAGTCCTCTGGTAGTTTCCTGGTGCTCCAGGATCTTTGGAAAGATTCTGTTCAGTGGTTCTGAGATCTGCTGGCTCTTTTTAAAACTCTTGGATGTAATCCATCTGATTTTGGTGATTTGACCTTGACTAGGGTGGATAGATGTTCTCTTACAATTTTCCTGCCTATTTTGACTTTTATCCCTATTCTGTCTTTTATACTCCTGCTTTTGATAGTTTGGGCTATTTTTTGTTTTTGAGTAAAGACAGTTGGAAAGAATGAATAAGCAGTTCTGCTTTCTCCCTGCTACTCATCACCTCCTTGCCATCTGCTCCTATTAGTGGACTAAATGTTTTCTTTTTTTCTTGTTTTTTCCACATTGAAATTTTAAAAAAAATATTTTTGACATTTGTTGCAAGTCTTAGCTCATTCTGAGCCTTAGCTTACCTGACTTCATCCTTGCAGATTTGGGGTATTTGCTGGTATTTGCTGTTTTAGTTATGTGTCCTCCTTTCCATTTTTTATGCTGCTATTTTCAGAATAATGGAAGAGTAGCACAATCTATACAAGAATGGATGCCCTTTATACCCCTATTCCGTCTTTTTAAATGGACCTGGCTTTGAAATGAGCAGTGATATATTGAGAAAGAGAACTCTTGCAGTACATTGTAATTTTTATTGGAGAATGAAAATAGCTCATATAATTCTTCCATGTAAGGCCTGGAAGGAAGTTTATCTGAGAATACTAGCTACAAGAAAACAGGTGTGTGTGTGGGGGGTGGAGGATTCTGCTATTCTATTATTTCCTTCATTTCTATCTCCTCTGAGAAAATCTGTGTGGTGGACAAATTACAATGTATACAGATATTTTATCTTCACAATAATCCTGTGAGGTGAATTAGAGTAACAGTAAGTGGCTCAAGGGAGTTTCAGGCTAAATGGGGATATAAAACTCCCTCACCCCTAATAATTATTTTAATTAGTACACTACACTGGTTGAGAGTAGTTTTGTTAATCTGTTTAGTCACCATGCTAGCTGCAAACATAAAAGCCCATGCCCCTCAGCCAATCTTGAAAGTATTTGAAACCTGATTTGCTCACAATGTTATTAGTCCTTGTCTCAGCATCCTTCATTATTTTCTGGACAGTATAATGAAGAAGGACAAGGTGGCTGCAACTTAAGATAAAAGACATTCCAGAATAGTTAAAGAAGGCATATCCATCCATCTCTTTTCTTACAAATTTCATCATCTCATCTACTATAACTCTGGATTTCAAACGTTAAGCATGTTCTTCAGGCTCCATAAGGTAACCCATTCCTTCAATAGGAGTTTGAAGATAACATACAAAGGGATTGAATATGTGTGATGCAATTGTCTATTATGGCCTCTTTCCCAAGTTCTGCAAACAGTCTAATGTGGCTTGGAATCTAATGTTTTGTTCATATGTTATGAAATCCAGAGCACTAAGTGTTCACTACATATGAATAGAGTTTCAGGGTCTTCACCATTAGCCTTGGAATTCCTTGTCAGTATGGAGTTTAATGAGAGTTTTAATCTTAGTTTCTGGTCCTTGAATTTTTTGTCAACGAGAACAAGAGAATAATGAGAATAATAGAACTAACTTAATCCTATGCTTTTCATGGTGAACTGCAAGCAAGACTACATATGATTGTTCCTGAGCCTGTCTATTTAAGTCATTAACAACACAATTTTTTAATTGTGAGAAAGACTTGGAAGAAGCTGTTTGAACTTAATATGCACAAAATGGGAGCTAGGAAGCACTATAAGCAAATGTTCCTAGTTCTTTATCATCTTGCCTGCCTCAGCAGGGTGAAACTGCTCTGAATGTTTTATATTCCCATAATACCTTTTTAAGGAATATTTTTTCATTATGTTTAGCAGCAGCGTGAACAAAAAATTAACCTGCAAATTAACTCACAAAATTTATTGCTCTAAATTATTCTGAACAAGTATAGTGTACCATCTTACACCTTTCATCTTTCACTTTTAGTGCCAAAGTTATTTTCCCCTCCATAACAGGACTAACGCATAACAGACGCAGACAAAAATATAAAATAAAGTAAGAACGCCAACAGAGAGAGGGAAAAATCCTGCTTTTATCACTCTGCTTTTGTCCTACAAATTCCAAAAAAGAAATTCCAATTTCCTGACATTTTTCAGGAAATATTTTTTTCAAGAGGAAAAGGTGAGCATGAAGTTGCGCCTCCTGAATTGGTTGGAAAATATTAGTTCTGCCTGCCTGACTCTTTAGCATGATGGGCTCTCCATTTTTGTACCCTGTTAAGACAATGTGGAATGGTGGAATAGGATGATGGATCTGTTACAAGGATTCATGGATCAGGCCCAACACCAAGACATGAGTCAGTAGATCAATTAAATCCCTTTTATTTACAGTTTCATCTTAACATCACTTGCTACATCTGGATCTGGAAAGCATGGAGGATTGTGCCCACCTTTTATATCTGTAGGCGGAGACTCAGGTAAGGAGGGGTCTGTGGGTGGAGTTGGCCAGGTGGGCATTTGGGTTAACCCCTGCACTACTGTACTATAGCTGACCCCTGGCATGGGTAAGGCATTTACACTTGACAAATCCCCCTCTAAATGCCTGACCTGTGGCTGTAGGCCTGACTGATTGATGGGTACTCTGGGGCGGATATTGAGTTTGGATACTAAGTGTGAATGCTGTTTACCCTGCAGTGGTTTTGTGAGTATGTCTGCGGTCTGTTCTTCTGTGTCACAATGTATGGCTTTTATGAACCCGATTCTGGAGAGCTGTCTTACGTGTTTGTACTTTATGTCTATATGTCTTGATCTTTGTCCTACAGCGTCAGCCATGGATATTTCTATGGCGGCCTTGTTGTCTTCGTAGATGTTAATCGGGTAAGCTGGTTCTCTCCACACACTGGCGAGTAGGTCGTCGAACCAGATAAGATTGTTGGCGGCTTTGGAAAGGCATATGTATTCTGCCTCAGTGGTGGAGGTGGCTACCAGGATTTGTTTACCTGTGTACCAGTGCACTGGGCTATTGTTCAAGTAAAATATGTATCCTGATGTGCTTTTCCTACCTTTGGTATCCCCGGCCCAGTCAGCGTCAGCGTAACAGGAGAGAATGGGTTCGTCGGATGTTTCGGGTTCTAGAGCTAGGCATGCATTGGCACTTTGTTTTAGGTACCTTAGCACCCTTTTCACTGCGTCCCAGTGGTATGTGGTGGGTTTGCCCACGTGCCTGGACAGTAAATTAACTGATAGTGCAATGTCCGGACTTGTCCAGTTGGCGATATACAGAAGTGAGCCTATGACTGACCTGTACAGCGTGTTGTCTTCGAATTCAGGTGATTCATCATGCATGTTCTTTAGGAAGTCCGATTGCATGGGTGAATCACACCCCTTGGCATCTGCCATGTTGCATTTGTGGAGTAACTCATCTATCTTTTCCTTTTGGGATAGCTGAAAGCCTTTGGGGGTCTCATTGACCTGTACGCCTAGGTATCGGTTTATTTTTCCAAGGTACTTTAAGGTAAAGTGTTTACTTAGTCTGCTGGCGAAGGCCTTGCGATTCCCTTCGTGTTTGCTGATGTAAAGTATGTCATCCACGTAGACTAGGATGTATTCTGGCAAGTCCCCCTCTCTCCTGGTGAAAAA